TTGCCGGATGAAGAAGTAACTGGGTACCACTGAAAAACTGCACAGCCCAGCTCCCGGTCAGCGACGGGTCGACTGCAGCTATCTGTAGCACTACTGATGTTATCACTGTACCATCCTGCACTACAACGAGCGAACGAACGAAAGGACAATCAAGTTTGGGAGAGGCGACGCGCATAAAACCACTTTTTCTCACCGGTTGTTACGCTTTCTGCCAAATTCTCTCTGTTAACACACTCACGCGAATCTTCACAGAAGAACAGGCCGAACGTCAGTAAAACTGCCAACCACAGACCACTTCTACCACCACACGCTCGCTGGCATCTTCCTTCGCTCATCACCGGAGCACGCGGCGAACATCGAGTGGCAAAGTTTACATACGAATCAACCTCCGGAGGTTTGTAGCTGTTTGGTGTGCGTGCAGAGGAGCACGCGGTGCGGCCAGTCGGGCGAGTGTATGTGGCGCAGTTTAGTTGTTGGCGGTTCGTACGCCAACGTCGAACTTTTGATCCATTTCAGGTGGTTTTACTCACTGAACTGTAGTCAACCCCACATCACTGCAGATGACTCAACTTGAACAATGAAAAACGACAACAAAAAAAAAATCCACACGGCATCCATTCCGCCATCTCATGTCAACATGTTGCCTTACTTGAATTGTTCTTAATGATCTCTTGTGTACAGAGCTGCTTGTGTCTTGCTTTACTCATTAACCCACGCAGGCCTGGACACGCATTAAAAACCACTAAAATCCTGCTCCAGTGTTTTTTGTTTTTTTCCCTTCTCTCATTCCCCTTCCCACCGCTGCCGTGTTCTGATTCGTTCCCCCTCCAAACTGCACGTGCCCAGTTGAATTAGAACGTAAACTGCAGTCGAGTATGAATGTTGCTGATATAATTAATCTGCCTAATTGTTCATTTTTAGTTAGTTTTCTGATTCAAGTGGCCAATGGGATGACGCCTCTACAGTAAATATCTTACATTTGGACGAAAGGAGAAAAAAAAGGGGTTTTAGCTACAAAGTTTCCACAAAGCTGTGAAACTCAAACCTTTGGGTCCAATCGTGCTTCCTGAGGAAAATCTGCATTCTGTGTTTACAACTTTTGAAAGAATTGCATTCGTTATTCTTATTCTACTAAATATTATTAGTAATTATTATTATTGGACAGGTCAGACATGCCCTGTGATGCTTTAATAGCGCTGCCTGTGCTGATCTGTGATGCTGAGAAGTGTTTGTGGATGAGAAAGCAGTAACAGAAGAGAATGAAAGTATAGAAACAACAAGCCAAGAGCCGCTGCGTTTAGAGACTTATAATAATTAATAAACGAATAAACATGAGGGTATTTTTTGTTTTGTATTGTCTTCCATTTTTTTTACCCCCCCCCCCCTTTTTTTCCTTCCCCCTGTATCAGATGTGGAAATCAGGCATCCGTGATTTGTTTTCCTCTTCTCAGATTTTACTTTTTTCATGATTTCACTGCCTTTACTGCTGCCTCTAGCATCGTTTCCCTCTTCCTTTCTTTTCTTTTCTTTTCTTTTCCTTTTTTTTTTTACCTCCTGTCATCATGCTGCTGTTCGTAAAATGTCGCACATCTCAAGAGGAGCGCATTTCCCTCCCCGGCTCCACCGAGAACCAGGAGGTGACATTACTCCCGCCATCTTCATCTTTCGCCCTCGTCCTCATTTATCAACAGAAGCATTAACAGAAAATGTGAATCCATCTCTAGATCTCAAAATAAAAGTCCGACAGGATATCAAGCCCATGACGCTTTGTATAATTTTCTGTGTATGTGTGTATATTCTTCAGATTGAAACCATTATTATTATTATTATTATTATTATTATTATTGCGAGAGGTTTGTTTTACAGCCAAAGCATGTAACATTGTTGCTTTAAGCCTTTCGAATGGGCTACACACAAGACTTGACTGTACGATGTCTACATTTCCACAGTGGCCTGTTATTGATATAATATTTAAAAAAACAAACAAAAAAAAAGGAACTCAGTTATAATTTGTAGCCTGATTCCCTCTGTACAGACATCATGACTATATTGAAATATATGAATACATACAGTATATATTTAACACAAACTTGAGTTGTGATGAGTCGGGGCGTAGAGTATGTACAAAATGCTGAGTGTGTATTGTACTTATTGTTTCATCTTTTTAATGGTTTACTTTTGTTGCTTTAAGACGACTGTACAGTGATGTATTAAACTTTGCAAGCATTACCATAGAAGCTTTGTGGCTTTATTTGTGCCAGATACAAAAATAATAAGAAGGAAATCACCTGAAAAGTACAAACTCGGTAATGAATGAATGTTATTAAAGGCGACCTGCTCCACTTTTAACCTGTTTCTCTGTCAGATACAAGCTCTTACAGTGACTTTTTATTTTTTTGTACCTGTATGATGTCAGAAAGAAGGGAGGTCCTGAATATCATTATCTTAGGCACAGAAGCTCCACCCACCTGCTGTTCAAACCTTCTGTTTGCAAGTTGCAGTCAATCAGAAAAAAGTTGGGTTAAAGGGGGAGGAGCTAAAAGGTCCAGTGTGAATCAAGCCTGCTGCTGTAGTGGAGGACATGCTGGAAATGAACAGGTTCAATTACCTGTGTATCCAAACCCTGATGCAGCTGTGAACGGGAAAGAAAAACAAAGTATGCAGGTGTACGGAGCGGCACATGAGCACGGATGATCGTTTTCTTAACGCTGGATTATCAACCTGTCCGGCGGGAACTTTGCTTCTTGTCCATTGTTTGGATGAGCTCCAGCCTCACCTGTTATCCTACTTGGACAGGTGATTAGGACGTTGGTGGTTGAATGCACTGGTCTGACTGTTTAAGAAATTGGTCCCTTTTCATTGGGTTGAATTAAAGAGTTATGGCTGCTGTAGAGATGAATATGGCAAAGCCTCGGGGCTAGTTCAGCTACACTGCCTCAAACACACGAATGGTTTGAAACCTTGAGAGATGGTGTGTTGTAGTTTTGTTTTTTGTTTTTCCCTCCAGATGATGAAGCTGAAATGCTCTCAGACCGGGTCGAGGTCAAAATGAAGGTGCCAGCGTCTCCTGGTGTTTAAACCAAAATAAATCCGTCTCTGTGAAACTGAGATTTCGAGTCAGCAGAGGCAGAAAATTTAATAAAAGAAATTGATTTTCCTGCAGCCCATCAGCTGAGATTGTCATATGAACATCATGGGCATGAATGTCATAATTTTGGGCTCTTGATGAGTTCTTTTTCTAGGGTTGGGGTGATTGTACAGCATCTTTAATCATTTTAAAAAACAAGAATTAGGTGCGCTAGTTTGAATTTATGTTGGATTTTCTCTAATCCACCCAGGGCTAAAATGTATCCGCCTTTATCTACTTTAAAAGAAAAAAACAATTGTGTGTTCGGCGTCATTAGTGTGTTGGAAGATCTGTGTCCACGTTTCAACTGTCTAGCTCTTGATTTGAGGGGAAGCTGAAGAATTTGGAGGGGTAGTCTTTCTTTATTATTCCACCACTTTGTGTCATGTACCAGTACCACAGGCAGAAAAACTGCCCAAAAGCATGATTCTACCACCACCGTGCTTGACAACTGGTACAGTGTTCTTTGAAAGCCTCACATTTACTCCTCTAACCAAAAAGCTCAGTCTTTTCTCCTGAAGGCGTTTGGCTTGTGTGGGCAGCGGAGTCGAGCTTGAAGATGATGATTTTGGAGTAGGGGCTTCTTTCTTGGTTGGCACCCTCTAATAACTCCTGGAAAACCATTCCGGGAGTTCCCAATTCATGGCAGGCTTGAGCTTCAGTGGCTCCTGGGTTGTTCCTGAACAACCAAACCAGCTTCCTCTCATCTGAGGATGGCAGTCCAGGTCTTCTTCCAGATCTTGGTAAAGTGGAGACATATGAGCTCCACAATTTCAACAACTATTTAATTATCATATTTACTCAAGATTAATATAACTTTTTATCACAAGCCCTGAATGTGGAACATTTGTCCTCAATAATCCTCCCTAGGGTGGATTTGAGTTGGACACATCCCTCATTAACACACCAGATCAGAGGTTTGCAGCACTGCATACCTACCCACTCATTTTGGTCCAATGTCAGAAATTGTAAAGCAACTTGAACATTTAATCTTAAAGAACTGCGTTGCAGGTTTCCTGTCAGTGATAGATTATGTCTTCAGGTGTAGTTTTGAAGCAGTAACACACCTGAGAGTAAACCTGCAAAATCACCCTGTGATGCAGCTAGATGCAGGACGCATGACCCAGTCATAACTTAAACTTTTCTCCTTTGAGTTTTCTGTCCTTGTGCAGGTGATGATAATGATGATATCTTCCTTCTTTGTATTCAGGCCACATGGACGCAATTACTGTGTCCCTGACCTACATATAAGATAAGCTGTGCAGGCAAACCTTTCAGTGAACATCTGATTTTTGGAGAAGTTCATCCTGACAGCAGGAAGGAGGAGGATGCAGCCAGTGTTTCACAAACCAAACACTAGTTTGTCTTTTTTGTCATAATTCAATTTATTTGTTTCAGTCAAAAGCACGTCAGTAGAGTGATTTGATTAGTTTAGAAAACTTACATTCATCTAAATGGAAAAATAGATCTCTCTTAGAATAAAGAATCAATCATTCAATAATCAGCATGACTGAAAAATAAAATAAAATAAAAACAACTCGTCTTCCCTTCACCGTAAACTTTGAAACACAGAAGATGACAGCGGTTCAGAAGCAGCAGATAAAGACAAACAGCAAATCGTCAGGTCCTTCATCGCCCTATCACTCGGATTTTCAGTCACATCGACCTACAGAGGAAAACTGGTCTGACTCTCCATGTATGGGCTCAAATTGTGATCATAAATATTTTGTACATACTTTGTATGGCAGCCAAACCCATCTGTTCTCTGATTGGATTGTTAAATTTGTGATTGACATGACATTGGCCAATCAGATGAAAGGAAGAAAAATGGGGTCAAAATTCGTACTTGTAACTTGAAACTTGAGTGCAGAGTTTCACACGTATTTTTTAGCTAAGCCCACACACAAATCTTTTTTTACACAAACACAAATTCTTTTTACACATACAAATCCTGATTTATAAGTACAAAATATTTATGACCACAATTTGAGCCCATATCCATGGTTTCCCCCGCACAGATCAGAGATCGGTCAATAAGATTATTCAGCAGACTTGATGTCAGCACGTGTCAGAGCTAATCCATTTCTCGCATATTTTTAATTTTCATAATAAAATATTTTCATCGGTGTCTCTAAATGTGTCCAAAAAAACAAATGAGCATTTCTTCAGTTGACCCAAAAGCAGCAAGTTAACTGCACTGCCACACTCAAACCACCGGGGGGCAGCACAATCAAGGCACATGAAACTACCACAGGACATTTGACTGCACTGAAAAAAAAAATTAAAAATAAAAGATGTAAGTGCTCTAATGGACTCTGCATTAGAAAAAAAAATTAAATGTTACATAATGTTTGCTTTTTCAGAGCAGAAAACCTGCTGCTGCTTAAGAGCAGGTTTATTTTTCTTCTAAATTTAGTCAAATTTCCAGATAATTGAACATCATAGCAGGTTTATCCTGCTTCATCCCCCAGCTGGACCGAGCAGGTTTCCAGCACGATTGCGCAAACTTAAATTAGGGCCCGTGATTCACTTATACTATGGAAGCACAACCTCGACGTCCCACGAAGGCTTTAACGTGGCGTTGGCAACAAGCGTACGTTGTGCAAAAAACACGGAAGAGGGAACAAATTTTGGTCTCTAACGATTGAGCCTTTGCAGATTCAAACAGTCGTTGGCGTGTTGAATAAAACATGGAAACATCAGCATGTTTACTGCGACTCTGTAGGCACATCGAAGCTCCACAACTTTCCTTCTTATGTGGACTTAAAGATCACCGTCTCCTCTCCCCTCCCTCATTTTACTGCTCGGCTTGAAGTGAAACACGTCCTCCTCTGACTCACTGCATCTGGACAGTCTACTAATGTTCCCCAATGATTTCCCGGGGTGAGGGGGAAGGAACACAACACCGCCCACCTCATGCAGCATTTAACAAGTCAATATCTCCCCCTTCTCCTCCTCCATGTCCACTCCCTCACACTCTGTGTAACCAGCTCCACCCAAAACCCCCGTTTAAGGCTCCTCAGTGTTCACAAACATTTTGAAATCTGCAGTCATTTTTCTGTGATTTAAAGCTCAATGCTAAGGACACCTCGGTGATGATAAATCTGCCACTGTGTGTGCGCTGTGACTGCTCTGCAGTGGCACCAAAAGCAACAAATAGATGGCTGAAAGCAGAAGAAGATGATGGGTGCTATGGTGAGGATGACGGGATGGCAGAGAGCGAGGCAAGGAAAAAAAATACAAACAGAAGCATCACGTAAGTGAGGAGGAGCAGAGCCACAGCTGTTTGAGGGAGAAACTCCACCCGTGAGCACTTAAACACTTGCTGGAGGTGTAGTGGTTTTTCTAAACGGGCAAAGAGCTCTGCAGCTTTTAAGGTCCGGCATGCAGCACGACGACACGGCTGAGGGAGTTTTGTTTGTTGTGAGTGTAAAAACAAATCTGGCTTAATCAGAATTCACATCCACACAAAATGTGCCTGTGAACATTTTTCACTGGAGCGGTTTCATCCTGCGAAACCAAAAAAAACCAGACACATAAACTGAAAACTGTCGCAAGTGAAGATGGAAGGGCAGCAATCGCCTCGCAGATTTCACACCCTGTTTATGTCAACAAAACCTCTAACGAATTTTCCTCCTCTGATGTTTTCCTGCCGCTTTATGAAAATCTCGTGCCAAAAGAAAGTCTGAGTCACGAGGGAAATATGAACGTGAAAACGGTGCCAAAGCTGTGTGAGATTTCTGTGGGTGTGACCGCTTGTTTACTGTGTTTTAAGGTGGATTGCTTCTTTACATTCACTCTCACCCGTCGCCATCAGTGACCCCAACTCTAACCCATGATTCACTTAAACGATGGAATACATATTCGTATTTGTGATCTATTAAATTTGGCAATCAGGGAACAACTCTCCCCCAGACAAGTCTGGATCCACTGATGCCAGGCAGCAGCTTCCACAGCTGAAACTCAATTTCCCAACGTTCCAGTAGGACTTCTACTTAAATTTTGGTGTGATTCACTTGCTGAGGCCCACACAGCCTCTAGGCTGGATGAAGATATGTTGGACGCAATTCTGCTTGGACAAGTTAACGTGGCTGGTTTAAAAATCGGGAACTGGGGAGGCGCTACTGAATGTGTGAAATACCCTTTAGTGCTTTTAAGAAACAGGATCAAGTTAACGAGTTTAAGGCAACAATGAGAAACTCTTCAGAGAGCGAAACAACGTGACGTCCTCTGATCAGAAACCAGGAACGCTGGTGCAGGAGCGCCCCACGAAGCTCTGATACATGATAAAATAAATATAAATAAATTACATATAAATACTTATATCTAATGATTATTTATACAATGTGCTTAGCTGCGGTTCACTTTAAGATACCATGAAGAAACAGACGTTTTCCTGCCTTGGCGTCGCCCGTGACACAGACGAGCACCTTCCCTCCTGAAGGTCACGTCCATAAAGGCTTTCATTTACGAGTTTCAGCCTCTCTCACACAAACAGACACAAACACGCTGCACTGCAGAGGAGTGTAAAGGCCAGAGAAAACTAATCCCCCGTCGTTGCATAAGATGCTGTAATTCTGGCTGATGTGTTTGCTGCGACGCAGACAAACGTCGCTGCTCGTGCAGCCGCGATGAAACGAGACGCCGGGAAAAAGATGGTGATGGATTTTCGTTCTCCGGAGGCTGAACGTTTGATGAATGGATGATGAAACGTGTGGGTCTTTATGTGTTTGTGTTTTAGCTCAAATGAGGCAGGACTGCCGTCAGTTCACACAGTCATGGCTTCGGAGTGTTCAGTATTAAATTAACAGTCACATTAAATAATCAGAATTTAAAACCTAATGATGCTTAATACTTTTAAATGAAATCTTTTCACAATAACAGCCTGTTACATCAGATCTTTTTGAATTGTTTGTGCTGCTAAATTAATGTTTATTTCCTCTTTTTTCAAATGTTGTAAAACAAAACAAAAACCATTAAAGAAACATATTCACAGACTTCAGGAAGTGAGGAAAAACTGAGCTGAACACTCAGTTTGAGACATTTGTTTCTCTACTCTTGACTCGTTCTGATGTCGTCGAGCAGTTTTAAGGGAAGGGAAGCTAACTGTGAATAATAAAAAGGTCAGTTTTGGCTGTTCCCAAATTTCACACAGGGCTTTACGCATGTTTAGAGATTTGTGTCTCTTCCTGGAATTAGAACTGGGGCGTGTAAACCACTACACTGTGGAGCCACTGATGTTACTCTAGTATGGAGCTTAAAATGAGCCAATTACATCAACTTTGAACAGACTCCGTTTGTGTTGATTTACAGGTCAAAATATCTGTACTAAAATCTCTTATTGTGAAAAGAATGTTTAATAATAAAATATCAACCTAAGCTTGAAAAAAAGTCATTTTTAGTGTAATTGATGGCATTATTTGGAGTTTGTTTCATTATTTGTCTAATACTGAACACTCCGCTCATTTTAATGTAATAACATCAGGAGGCTTGAATCCGCTGCTTTGCTCCTGCAGCTGCACAGCTCCTGATGCGACAGGTGAAACACATTTATTGTTAAACGCCGTCACAGAGCAGAGATGAAAGCGGGCAGTCGAGATTGTTCAGTCTCATCCAGTGATTAACCTCGACAGGCCTCTGTGCACCTCGGCCTGTACTGGGCCGTACTCCACCACCTCTCCGTCTACTGTAATTATTCCTTTGGGCGAGTACGGCTCCAGCCTGAGCGCCTGCACCTTAGTGTACACCAGATGTTGGCAGTTAGTAGTCAGATGTGCACCCTTCTCCATAGCTAGGAACAGCCTCAGCAGCGCGGTGGGCGATATCCCCGCTCTAACGTAAAAAAGATGAATGACGCCGTCGTCCGGGGTGGCCTCCGGTGCCGCCAGGAGATCCTCCGCCAGGTGGGATTGGTACATGGCCAGCATGAGGACAAAGTCTTCCTCCGGCACCACCACCCAGTCGTCGGGCAGCGGCTGATCCAGAGGTGGCAGCAGGGAATCGTGTGGGCCGGGGAGGGCTTTGGTGGCGCTTCGGGAAGGCGTGCTCTCCACCCGCCTCACTTTGAGGGAGTTGTTGGAGTGGCAGGAGTTGTGGAAGGAGGAGTCTCTGACAGCAGGTAGTGTCACGGGGGGGACCCGATCCTTGCAGAGCATTGTGTTACTCCTCAAAGCCTCCTCGCTGTTGTGGTCCTTGGTGGCGGGCAGGTAAGCCAGCCTGCCCTTATAGACACGGAGAGAGGCCAGCCGCACCAGCGTGCCAATGGTGAAGCGGACGGCGCCAAAGTGACGGTACTTCTCGCTCTCTATATCGACGTCCGCTACAAAGCCCCAGGCCAGAGACAGGAAGGAGAAGAGACGGGGGCTGGAGCAGAGATGGACGGAGACCATATCCATGTGGGACACCAGACCTTTGCAGAGCAGGAAGCCACAGCTGACCAGGAGCTCCTCGCTGGTCACAGGAGAGGCTCTGCAGGAGGAGAGGGGACATTTAAACACTTCATGGCAGCTCCTGCTTTCAGACACGACCACAGTTAGGCTGAAACAACCACATGAATAAATTATAAGTGATTTGCAAGTAAATTATTTAGGATGTATTGTGGTGATTAATTAATGTCGTTGTTAACTGTACATCTTCAGCTGTTGGATAAATGTGATTTTTAAAAATAACAACTCACAACAATATATCAGTTAATCAAGAAAGCAGTGTGCATGTTATTAAATAATCAGAATATTCAGCCTTAAAGTAAATATACGACAAGATTTTGAAACGTTGACATGTAAATATGCAAGTTAGACATTTAAAAACCCAAAGACCACTTTTATTTATTTTATTGCTACAGCTTAATTTAGAAATCACCTCTACAGGCCACATTCTCCTTGTGTTTGTTGTTCTGTACAAGCACATTTATGCATTTCCTGCTGCACACTCAGTCACATGGGAGGGGAGCAGGTTTAAGGGTTCAGCATTTTGCCCAAGGACACGTCAACATGCAAACTGTGGAGGTGGAGATCTCCTCCACAGACTTACTGCGAAATGACCTGCTCTACCTCCTGATCCACAATCCAAGCTTTATTTATAAAAAGAGAAACATCCACCTCAGAACAGCTTCCATTCTGGTTCCATTTAATCATTATTTGCAATGAAATCTATTTAAATGTGAGCGACGGGCTTTTGTAATGTAAAGCAGAGGCGTCTGATCCAAACTGGAAACATATGTAGACCCTCAACTAAACTAAAGCTGATTTTCAGTGTTGATTTATGTTTCAGTTCATAAAATATCAACAACAAATCATTTGAGACTCTGCAGACAGAGTTTCCCCTCATCAGTCTGGCAGGAGGAGGCAGTTAAAAAAATCTGGTTTCAAACACAAGATAAAGACACCAAAATATAACAGAAAGGCTCCTTCTGTATTTTTAGGAAGTGGGTCAAGGCATCCTTGTGTTTTTGTAAGTGAACTTTAAAAAGTGGCGTTATACAATACAGGGCTAACAGTGACCTTGTTGTGCTATCTGAAATCACTGAGGTGGGGGAGAGAAGAGGTGGAGCCCCTACAAAGCTCAGAGGGTGGGGGTGTAGGCGAAGGACAGTGTGGGCCTTCAGATAACAAAGACGACCCCATCTGGGAGAACGGATACAGAGGTGGAAGGTCACGTTAACACGCACCCACAGATTTGCCGGCTGTTACAGCCAACGGCCAATTACAGCGAGGAATGGACGTCTCAGCGGAGCTCAGATATCTCCATATTCAACATCCTGAATTTATTCATCAGTCTAGCTTTCCAAACAAACTCATCTACATTTTCACAGCTCTGTTACTGTATAATCACGCTCTGGTAAAAAGGTCAAGAAATAATCTGATTATAAGGCGATTTCCAGCTCATCCTGCTTCGCCTCTCAGTTTTATGTGTTAAAGGTATTAATTCAATTTATAGAGCACCGAACCACAACATGGTTTATAGACGTGCTCTTGGATTGTTTGGGGTAATAAAGAGCAAAGAAATAAACCTTTGTGAGCAGCGTGCAACTGTGTGCAGATTTCAGCAACATTTACTTTCAGAGAGATAGTTCTGTCAATGTCAGAAGAAAGAGCAAGACGCGATCAGAGAGCAGCAGGATGCTGTTTGTGGCATAAAAATGTCAAACATTTAGCAACATGTTAGCAACAATGAGGTGAAATAAAGCAGGTTAACAAGAGAGATTCAAATACCCAAAATGAAAAACTGAATGCAGACCCAACGAACAAATATTGAATAGTCAAATATTTGGCCAATCATGGTACACGATCTTAAGTTTAGTGATTTACCTAACAAATGAAAGCTCACCGGTTTGATCCCAGGAGGAGACACAAATCCCTTTGGGGTTGCGCCAGAAAGGCCATCTGATGTCAAAAAACAAAAACAGATAGAACATGTGGAGCTACCTGCCTACCTTGTGAATAGGGAACCAGCCAAAAGTAGCTCTTCATTGTACAATACCTTAAAGTGTAGAGTAAGTGCACAGCAACAATGTGGAGGAGAAGCTCGGTGTTAACAGAAAGAAGCTTCAGATGGAGGCTCAAGAACGGCAGCCATCTTCCTTTGACTGATGTCCACCGATGAAAAGCAAAGTGTCTTAAAGGTGTTTAGCAGATGAGTCATCGCTTGAGTTTAATCTGAGAACTACTGTTTCTGTGGTGTCGTGCGCAGCCGTATTCACTGTGTGTGAAGTGGACAGGAACATGAATGAGAGCAGAAGGGGTCCCAGTATGCAGCCTTGAGGAACACCGAGGTTAAACTGCATTTATTGTCCACATTTCAATGCACTAATTTCTCTCCTATATTAAACATGCAGTGACATTAACTATAACACACACTCTTCTGCTCACTGATGATGCATCAAGGTCTATTTGTGGGGCTCACTCATGGATAAGAATATATAAAAATGACCTCCTGGATCACTTGACCTGTGTAAGTATAAAAGTACAACTGCACTAAAAATGTGCTTTATCCTCTTAGACTTTGACTTACATATTTTTTCACATTTTACAACACAAACATCCCACTGTATTCAACAACTAACTCATCAGGAAAGTGTGAAATTAAGTCATGGATAGAGGGAGCCAATGGGCCGTTTTCCATATCTATCCATCTTTTATTTACAGTCAGTAGGTCTGAATGTTAGTGTAGCTCACTGAAGTGGTTGGTCTCTTTCAAACTGGAATAATGGTGGTAGCTTTGAAGCATTGGGAGACTACAGCCTGTGACAGACACATATTGAAGCTGCTGGTGTTAGTTAAGCGGCGAAGCCTTGCTGCACCCATCCAGGACTCCTGTCAGGGCCTGCCGCTTCCGCGGAGTCTTCTGTCATGTGTCCACAGCATCAGTGGTGCGCCTGGCGCTATGGGCTTTGCTCTCTGTCATTTCCTTGTTATTCCTGTCTGAGTGGGCAATAAATCTGTTGCTCTCCTGATGGGATGACGGATGTGGTGGGGGTGGTACCGTTGTGACAAGCGATATAGAACTGTATGGCTTGCCATTGATGGTTGGATGACGTTGTAGCTCCTGCTCAGAAGCAAATTAGACCCTCAGCCAGCAAACCTGCACACTGCCAGTGTTTTGCATAACACCAAATACATTCTAGCTGTCGCTCGTTTGATCCACGTAGCCTCGGTGAACCCGACATTCAGCTGGGAATAATACCAAATACAATCTGGCCAGGGCTACTGCAGGACAGAGAGGGAGAGATTTTCTGGATGCCCCGGGACTGTGAGAGGAGAGTAAACAATGCAGAATCTGGTCCCTTCCTCCCATTGTTGCTGCCGCTCTCACTGGAAGACTATTGTTTGAGATGAGAAGCTGATTGGCAGATGAAAGAATAAACCACCAGTGAGAGGTGTTTTCTTCAGTTTGACTATATTCACTTTAACTTTTATTCAGTCTGGAATCCCCCCCCATTATTATTTTTTTTAAATCCAAGACAGCAGGACAAAAAACTGCTTGACTACAAAAGACACCCGCCGAAAAAAACAACACTTGAGTGAAAAATTATTTAATTAAATAAAACAGCGAGGCGCTCAGATAAAGCTCATGTGACCTACAAAAAAAGAAGCAGCTTGAAAAGGAAGCGCCTCAAAGCACTTAAACAAGCTTTTTTTCCCCATTTCCCACATGGTGACTTTAGAGTATAAAGAGCAGAATATCTAAACACACAAATAGAAGCCACAGTTCAAAAGCTGTTTACATAGAGGGACGCAAATTTGTATAGAAATGGACCAAGAAGCCACATCTTTATGAAACAAACCAACCACCTGTAAGACAATTAACTGCGTGTCACATGTTTTGGTACCAAACGAAGGGATGATTTAGGCACGTACACTCTCCAGTGGTGTGAGCTGCCTATTAGTGGAAATAAATACCAGTAAGAAGAACTGAGAACACCTGACACGAGCCACTTAAACAGAGATGCAAGTCCTTAACCAAGAAACAATTGTAGGCAATGGCTGTTGGAGACCAACTGCAAGTAGCTACAGTGACCAACTGGTCAACTTAACCAGCAACACCCTTAGGGCAACATGTTGCAATCAATCAATCAGTCTGTGTTGATTTGTGCAACTTGTCTGTAAAACATCTCTTTGCAATTGGGGCCTCGACTGGTTTGCAACTGGTTGCACTCTTGTTATATTCCTACATAAAATCAAGGCTGTGTTTGTTAATCATGTTTCAAATCTTCAAATCCAGTTGCTTTGAAGATGGCAACTGACTGCGAGTCGCCCATACCTGGTTCTTTCTTTGACTTGACCATTTAAAAGATTGTTGTCAAGACTGTTTCGTTCACTGCACACAACTGCAATAATTTGGACGTGCCCCAGTGTCCATCCACTGTTTTCTCTAATGTGACTGCAGCATCATGTTAAGATGCAACAGAAACGGCCGCACAAAGTGATGATTTGGCATCGTGCCCTGCTAAGAGTGACAGTCCTGTTTTATGCTTCTGGTAATTACAAGGAAGTATGAGTGCATAAAGAGTCCTGACACATCAAGAAGATGATTTAGGAGTCACTGGCCCAGCATATGAAGGCAATGAGTAAATTATGTCATGTAACCAATAAATGGTTCAGTATTTACTGCAAACTGGAAAAAAATACAACAAAAAACAAGGTATGCTTCTTCTTCTCATCATCATCATCATCATCATCATCATCATCATTGCACAGATAATTAAAAAAAGGAAAACATAACATCTGCTGCCACTGACCTTTTAAATAACAGCTTTTAATGTTAATATTTTATTCCAGATGTTTCTGTGTTATGATGTTATATTTATTGTATTTAACTGTTTGGTTGATGGTTGAGTGACTTCTGCTGATTGTAGCCCTCGGGGATCATTACGATGTCCTTGACCCCTGATGTACTGCAGGTTTCAGACTCAAACCGATGACACTGTACTTCATAAACAACGCCACTGGTCTTTTTCTTTTTAGACTGAATGGTAGTTAGTAACAGTTTATGCTACATGAACATTTACAGATAAACGTGGTCTGATACATATGCTGATATCAGCTGAGGACAGCTTTATTATTAGGTGATATGTGGTTAACTGATTTTTAAACTCCTCCCATCAACTGTGTTCTGAGTGTTTGAGTTTCCCACTAACTACAGACCAAACTGTGTCACTGCAGGGATAGTGTGTGATACGCGAGTAAGCTGCTTGTATGTATTTGTGTTATAATAAATGTCACTGCATGTATAGAGTAAACGAGTTCCTTTATCTTCTGTCCCTCTGACTTTTTCTTTCTGTTCTGTGTTCAGGCTGAATGATCTCCAAACAATAACCCATTTGAACGAGTCATGAATAATTAATTCAGATGAGAGGAGTGCATTTTACAACGAAAAGCACCAAAAGGAGTCAGGACCATGTGTGTCTGAGGTTCAGCTGTGCAAAAGATGCTGTATCTACAGCAACGCTGCACATAAATACATCCTATTGATTTCTGTAACATGTCCACAACATTTTACAGAAAAAGCTGTTGTTATATGACTGATGAGAAACAGAAGGTTCAACAGGCCCCACTGAACCACACTTAAAGGGATCAGAGCCACGATTCAGAGTCCTTGTCTGCAGATCTTTGTTCTTACGTGAGAATAAAAATAGACAGACCTCCTCCTGCTACAATCACTTGCTAAGAAAGTAATTACTAATGACAGCTACTGTTTGGTTGAAACTACACACTGCATGCGATTTAAATCACTTAACCACAGGTATGTGCATGCTGCTCGTGTAATGGTGTGGCTCAGGCTGGCATGTTCACAGACTGGCTGGACTGGTTTCGGTGGAGCTCTACACCAGAGGTTCATCATGAGAAATGAATCATTTTTTACTACCGATTAATCTGCTCATTAATTATTAGCGTAATTTTAAAATTGCAAAACCAAAAAGTTTTACTTTATCTATCCAACAGTCCAAAACTGGAAACTTTATCTATCCAACAGTCCAAAACTGGAAGAAAAAAAAGGTTCAAGGTTTTGAGGTTTCTACAGAGTGCTGATGACTGATTTGTGCATGTGTGTGCGTGCCTCACCCAGAGTAATGATGTATGGATGCAGCCAAGGCGTTGCCTGATCCACCAGGAAGGATACCCAGCGGTGTCCGGATGGCCTCCTCCCAATCTGGCCTCTCTAGCAGACCATTTATCACCTGACGCACACAGAAAATACAGCCTCAGTAAGGTGGCCTGAAAAATTTACTGTGTCAGCTAGCCAGTGACAGATATACACTGTATGGACCAAAGTACGGGGCCACCTGCACATCAAACCAGCAGGAGCTGGTGACCGTGGAAAGCCATGCAATTAAGATTTTGCGCTGATGTTAATGCAAGAGGAGGTTTGGAACTGTAAGGCTGAGGTTCTGTGGTCCCCACACACTTCCACTTTGCAATAATAGCACTTAGAGCTGATCATAGAATATTTAGGAGGGAAGAAATTTCATAAACTGACTTGCTGCAGCAGCGGTATCCTGTTACAGTCACACGCTTGACTTCAGTGAGCTCTTTAGAATGATTCTTTTCACAAGGTGTTTGATGAAAGCAGCTACATTCAGATATCAAGAGAAAGTGTGGCCCAATTTTGTCCATAGTTTACTTGCATTTACAATGTATTTTTTGCTGAAAGTACAGTAATGCAGGTTGTAAATATTGATATCATATCAACAGTTTATGATACTCTTAGAAACACCTGCAGTGCATGCAGCAGTGCATGCAGCAGTGCAGCAGAGTCGAATGGCATCTGCACAGCAAGTTTCCAACCACCAATCCATCCATACACTTTTTTAACTGCTTGTCCAATTCAGGGTCTTGGGGGCCTAGAGCCTATCCCAGTTGTCATAGGAGAAAAGGAAGGGTACACCTGAGACATGATGCCAGTTTATCACAGGGTTAACATAAATTAATCACCAATCAACCGAATACGCATGTCTTTGGACCGTGGGAAGAAACCAAAGATCTGAACAAAATCCATGCAGGCAGGGGAGAAAACACAGAAAAGCTCCTGCTGGCTGAAATGTTCACACTAGGAAACCTCTGTGTGGGCTGACAACGCTAACCACTGCTACACTGTGTTGCTGAAATTTCTAGCATTGTACATATGTATATATTCTATGTAGCAAGTATTGTATGAAATACTGTGGTGGGGAGAAACAATAACCCATAATTTTTCCCATTTCAACTCTAACACGTCATTGTCATCAGCTCCAAAAGTCCGGTATTGGTCAGGCTCCAACAGTCAGCATCCAGCCTGGTAGCACAATCTTTTGTAGTACTGTGGAGTGCTAATATTCATGTGCTCACAGAGAGAATAGAAAACTAGTGTGTTTACGCCATTGTACTCACTCATTTTACCTTTTAGGAATGCAATTTTAACCATTTTAGACCGAAATAACCCAGGCAGAGTCTATGTACATTTAACCTAACACTGTCTGTGTGATGGATGACTGTGAGGTGAATTTGGTGGGTTGAGTAGCTGACTGCTGTTTCTACTGGCCTGCTGTTTTTTGATTGGCAGGCTACATTTTTAGTTATTTGTCTAATAGATGTCAGAAATTGCCCATGTCTTTAAAAAATGACCATACAATCAAAACATTTATGCCCAAAAATGCTGATTTCACATAATTTGCTTTTATGTAAATATAAAACGATGTAAAACATTATTTTTAATAGAATCTGCCCAAATGAAACATACTTGATTGGCATACATACAGTTTATAAAAAGTATATTTGAATAAATAAACAGCTGAGTTCATATATTCCAGCTGGATTGGTTTTGAGATTACGGTGGTGTTTTTGGTTATGAACATAGTGCACGTGTGTGTCTTTACCTCATACAGAAGTCCGTCTCCTGACATGATGACTAAAGCGTCCCACTGCGACAGGTCGGCCTCTTTCACCATCTCCCGAGCGTGATTCTGCCGCTCTGCAAGACAAACAGAGAAAATATGTAAAGTATGTTGACTCATGTAGGTTTGTCTTTCCTGGAAGAGAAATCTGAAAAGGGGGACACCTTCTCAAAATGTCAGCTTCATTCCTCCTCAGAGGAAGGTCATGGTTGGCCCTCAGAGGTGTAGCTACTTGTGTTACAGCTGAATAGCATAGCTGTGCGAGGACAGCCAAAAGACAGCAACATGACACAAACACGAACACCTGAGGCAGTCTGAGTAGATCCCTGCTCCTCCTGTAGTTTTAGTCTTCCTTCCCTTCAGTTTCCAAATTAAAGTATCACCGTGGGAGGGAAAGTTGATATATGGTCTTAAATGAAGCGCCTGTCACACCGCCAATTAGATTGAGAGAGCTAAATTACTCAGGAGCACTCTGTCAAATTACTCCGAGAATGAATAATCTGATGCGCGTCTGTCGCTAATGGGCCAGCTGCTTGGATGGTACAGGAGTAAACTTTTCTACTTTTTGGTGTTCATGATTAAAGCTTCGACTTTAAAATGAGGAGAAAAAATTCAGATGGGTACAAAGCAGGTACACGTGTACAAAAGTTCAGAAAAAGGGTGACAAATCCCCCCCAAAAACTAATTATTGTGGACATACCAACAAACCACAACATCAAAACCACGAGTATTTAGAAGGTTTTGTGTTTGTAAGGCTGTCACACGTGTAGGGCTGTGCGATATGACCAAAATCTCATATCCCGATATAAGAATTCTATCGTCCCGATAACGATATAAATCACAAAAATGTAACATTTTCTGTAAATTCTGTGAATCTCGGGCAGCTCGACTTGCGGGAAGTGTTTACAGCTGCGCGTCATGTAGCTGGAGTTCAATGTTTTAACAGATGGATGAAACTTTACATTTTTAGACATAAGTTGTAACGGCCACCGTTTTCTTTGTGAGTATTTATTAAATGGTAAAATGGCCTGTATATATATAGCGCTTTAATAGTCCCTAAGGACCCCAAAGCGCTTACATATCCAGTCATCCACCCATTCACACACTGGTGATGGCAGCTACTGTACATTGTAGCCACAGCCACCCTGGGGCGCACTGACAGAGGCGAGGCTGCCGGACCCTGGCGCCACCGGGCCCTCTGACCACCACCAGTAGGCAACGGGTGAAGTGTCTTGCCCAAGGACACAACGACCAAGACTGTCCAAGCCGGGGCTCGAACCGGCAACCTTCCGATTACAAGGCGAACTCCCAACTCTTGAGCCACGATTGCCCACATTACATATTACACAGCGTGCTGCGGGGAAAAGCCTGTTCTAACGTTTGAGTCTAAGGTCTATTTTTTAGCACCTGGCGGCTCTTTTTTTACTTCTCATCCGTAAATAATCTGCTCTTTCACGTGATTCAGTTTATTTTGAAAAGTCTCAACAGGATCTTGAGCTTTATTGTGAAAGGTTTATGTGGAACATAAACAAGCGGACACGCGATGGTTTTACCGTCGTTGTTGCTAACCACAACACATAAAAAGAGGCGCTTGTCCGTCCTTAGTGTGGTTATATAAAATATAAGAGAAAGAGAGAACTTAAGAAATTAACGAGGAAAAAATATTGCCGTAAAGAGTTTATTTTGCGACACCACGAAACAAACGATAACGTAAAATAAAAACATAGACGTTTTTATATCGTCATCCGATATATATCGTTATATCGAACAGCCGTACACACGCGTGTCACATCTGAACATTTTATCGCACAAGCCTCGTGAGTTTTCTTAATCAGGTTTTTGAATATTCCGTTCGCGTTTGTCTGCTCTTGTAGGAATCCTTTGTATCGCTCTTTCACTGTCAGAGTCTCCTTCTCAACAGTTTCAAGGTTAAAGGGCAGAAGAAGTGCTCTGAGGCGTAAAACACACACTCACACACACAGCAGCACTGGTTTGTGTTTCTGTGTTTCATATTTCTTATTTTTTCTTTACAAAGCAGCAATCATTCTCTCATTTGATTAGATAAGAAAAAAAATTAAGGTAACGATGAAGCATTTCAGTAAAGTTGGACTTTAGGTTGTTGAAATAATGGAATCACTGGATTTCTCACTGTATCCCCACTTAAAGTATCAAGTATTTAGACATTTAGTATTACATATTCAACATGGTGCTTATATTTCATACTTACAAAAGCTATTAAGAACAACTTTTTTTTTTTTTTTTAATACCACCACGCACTGCTTTGTTGAAGATGGGTTTGTTTTTTTAAATAGGAACACAGAAACCAGACACTGCTCTTATTCAGCAGCCTGTTAGTTATGCTAATACACTAATACGCCTCCAGTGCCGTTGCGAGCCAGTTTGGTCCTGGTGTCTTTTCGGACCAGACCACATTTTCACAGCTCTGAGAACCGATCATTACATACCATAAATAGCAGAACGTGAAATATGAAGAAATATGAAGTAATTCATTACTGGGTTACTTCTGTAAAAATGCCTAAAGTTCTGATTTTAATGCAAAGATACATGCAGATTCCATGCATTAATTAACCCAGCACACAGACACACATGCACTTCTCTCTAGTGACTGATCTATTTTTTTCTTCCTTTCTTTCTACTTCCTCTTCCCTGAAACCCACAGAATGAAGGAATCAATTCCTCCTCATCAGTCCAGTCACATCACATTTAGTTATTTGCGCAGAGTCTGAACACTGAAAAGGTTTAAAAGGCCTCCAATCAGCAACAAAGCTGCAGAGCAGCAACACTGCGGTGTGGGTGAAGGATAGCTCCTCACATCGGTCAAACCATTAGGGGATGGTGGAACTGCTTGTTATGGTTTTTATAGTAGTTGCTGCAGTGGAGAGGAGACAAAATCAAGTGCTGTTGAACTTTTGTGTTTCTAGCTTTGAACAGGTACTTAACAGCAATGTACCGACTGCAATTTCATGTTGAGCAACATTTGACTGACTCTGGAACTGATTGGCACAGATTGGCAGAGCTGTGAAAACGAGGGCAGCAGATGGCTACAACAGAAGATTACAGGCCACTGTGAGAGGATCACGATGAAGACAGATTCCAGCCCATAATCAAATACATGCTGTTTCACAGAAAACATTGTAGTAAAAGTCAACATCCTGTGTGATTTTCTTTTCTGCACTGCATGCTGTCACCAAACCACAAACTTTTCAATTGTTTTTTAAAACCCGATGGTCAGTGATATGATATATGCCGTTTTTAGGTCCCTTTGAATATTGAAATTAGAGTTGAGAGACTCCACATTCATTTACAAACGGGCCTGCAGGCATTACTATAATGGCTGAGAAGTGGTAAGACTTACTTTTATAAAGACTTTATCATCAATCTCAGCCTACTGGCTTACAGTAAAATCCTGCCACCAGCTGACTGACCGGTCCATCTGTGGCACTGAAGCATCAGCTCCTGCAAGGGCTTGAACAGCTGCAAGAGCACCGTGTCACTTGAAAATAAACAAATCCTGTTTGGGTGCACTTCCTTAAATGCCATTCTTCTTGAGATGACAGCCTCACAAATGACATTACAGTTCTCCACATATCAAATTCCTCTGTTGTGATGGTTTAAGTGCATGTAAGGTAACAGAAAGCCTCGTCCTCCTGTCGACCTTAATCTTCCAGCTAAAGGCAGCTTAATGAACCTCCACCTTGCTTTTTACGTTTCCTGCCCGCAGCAGTCTTTAAGCAGCTGCACTCCTCCAGCAACATGACAGCAGGTGATGACAGTTAAACAGCACAACATACCGAGTGTGTGTGTGCGTGCGTGCGTGTGTGTATAGAGCAGGAAACACTAAACACTGCGACAGCTTTCTCAGCTGCCGGGAGCGGCCTGACGGTGAAGCCACCCAAAGTTTGTACACACACAATTGTAAAAATTATATCCCCCCTCTCTCTCACACACACACACTCTGTTTAATTCTTGGCTTTCACTCCACTGACCCAGCACTTCTGAGGTTGTAGTAACAGTAACAGAAAAACATCTCATCGCAGATCCATGGAGACACAGATGGGCTGACAGACATTTCCCGCCCTCAGTTCGGCCTCAAGCAAGATCAGCCAACAGGAGTTTAAACACCACCGCCCTCTTCTCCGTGTGTCCGAGGAAAACGTACCTTGACTCAGTGACAGTAAAGCTGTGGACCAACTTTACAAGTTAGTTGCAGCTTAACACAAACTATGTGGTGGTTAAGTGGAAACCTCCATATCAAACAAGTATTCCCACAATTGTTATCTACACTGGCTACGCAGCTCTCAAAGCCTAAAAATGAGTGCCTCCATGAACGCTAGAGTATAGAGGATAAAGTATCGACATAGACAAAGTATAGTTTTCTTAACTGATTTTCAGAGTATTTCAGTATTCCAGATTAACAGTCTGATAATATTAGATTGGTTGTGGTTTAGGAGACACGAGTAAAGCAGTAAAAACCTAAATAAATTGCACAAGACATTTTTAAGACCAAAAAAAAAAAAGAAGAAGAAGAAAAAAAAAGCAAATGAATATTTTTAAATTTGTCAGACAAACTACTTTTCTGTCAGTTATTTCATCGTTCAGGCTTTAAAGGGTTCATTTCTGGTCCCTCCTGAGAGTCGCCACAAAATATGGACTGTCAAACACTGTAATATGTATCTTCATGTGTAAAATTGGCAGCACTCCCCTTTAAGCATCACTGCCCAGCCAATTTTGTACCCGGGTATGCTGTGTTATCTCCCAGGATTTCTGGCATTTGAGATCAATGTCTCCTTACTATTTTGAGCCTTTTACTTGTCTACAGCAGCTGTCAAAATGTCACTCGCTTTGTGCAGCTTTATTGCACAGCTCCAGTGTGATTTCCTGGATTCCTGCTTAACAGGAGGCTGTGATAGATTTTTAAACAGTTTCCTTTCAACATTTTGTGAGATCTAGGAAAATTCCTGCTCTCTCGTTGCCCTTTCTTCTAGTGTTCATGCAATAAATGTTTTAACATCCTCACGTGGGTCACAACAGAGAATAAGAGCTCCGAGATGTACAGCAGATTTCAAAAGAGCATGACGAGTGCTGTCATGAATGAAAGAACAAAAGACTGAACAAGAAAGACAGCAACAGAGCAGTTTCAGGGAATAGCCATCTCTTCTGGTAAATATTTGTAGTCTGTATTGAGTTTATGGGCCGGAGCAGAAAAGCATGACATTGTTTAATTAATACTGTCTGACAGTCATCTCAGAGTGCCTGTGAGGAATCAGCAGGCCTTCTTCACATGTGCACTAACAAGAACACGACCACAGACAGAACAACACACTCTCTCCTCTACACTGGACCCCCACAGCAGTGCAGTCATCCTTCATCCATCCTCCACCCCTGGCAGTGCCCGCAGCTGCCACACAGCAAGATTCAATAATGACTCTGTCCACTTTTGTTAATATCTGCTTACAAGAGCATCCACAAACGCTTCCAGCCGTATGCTTCATACAGATGCCACTAACACACAGGAGCAGACAAACATGCTGTTACAAAGTAAGGGTGCCAAAAAACACATTATAAAGCATATTTTTCACAGGCAATGAGCTAACACATGGGTATAAACAACTTAAATTGACCACTTTTTAATTCCTTCTTAAATGACAGGAAAACATATAATAATACAAAATAGTCACAGGTAGTGGAGGAGCTCTAATGTAATGACTGGAACTAGTGGATGAGGCTTAGCAGAGTCCAGAGGCCAGTACAGTATTTCGCACCAGGCTGTCATCATGCTTTTTAATGCAGCAGAGTGGGATATTTTAACATGGGAATCTGTGGTGATCGACTCTTTTGAAACCAGCCTCAAGTTGCCACAAGAGGAGCTGCAGTTTTTGGCACTTTTGTTTTGGTTTCATCTTTCGACTCGGACGTTAACACTCTTTTTCTGTTTTTCTTTCTTTTTAAAAAAAAACCAAAACAAAAAAAAAAAACCAGCAGATTAGCAGTTGTTGTATTCCAGTGATCTTTGAACTAGGACTGTGCCATATCATATCGCAAAGAGGCATAAATATATGAATAATGTAAAAATGTCAGACAAACAAAGAGACACACCCAGGAATGAGCAAGAATCACACGTCAGGCACAGGTAAGGTGTGGACCAAATGTAAATAAATGACTCAACTGAGCGTCAGTAGTTGCATTCCATATGAGAGGAAAGGCAAGCAGTAAGTCCGTATTACTGACGTGGTTACATGGTCGTAAAGGATGGCTTTAAGGGATATTACGATCTAATATTGAGGCCATATCGTGCCCCCTTACTTTGAACTTAAAGTTAAAGGAACTCAAACATGAGTTTCGGTCACTGCTCGTTCACTGTGATGTTCCACCTTGAGTGTGCAAAATTAAGTATGTTCAGAGTTTGAAAAGACTGATTTTACGTTCACCTGCAGAAAAATCATAAAAGGTTCACAAAGTACACAAAAAACTGTGAATGCCAGTGTACAGATACTACAACAGGAATGCAGATCTTTAAAGCAGAAAAAAGACTTGTGCTACTTTTTGCACTTTAAACTGGATTGACTACACCTTGGTTAGGAAAGCATCACGTTTGTAAATCACCTGTAAAACTACCCACAGTGCTATTTGGGGATCGTGCTCACACACTATTTTGCCCTGTTTAATGACGTTTTGTCTTTAACCACCTGACCTCTGGTCTCTGAACATGCCTGGTGGAGATATTTAGTACTGAGACATAATTCTAGGCTATTTGAGAGAGATTAGAGAGAAACATTTATTTCAGAAGTTGATCAGATTGTCCATCGCTGTTGTAATCAAGTTCTCCTGTCAGTGGCCATGCTGTTACATAGATGTAGATTTGAGGATTAATCTATTCTTATTCGTTTTCCGGGATTAACTTGTCTAAAAGTACATCTCTGAAATCATAAAAAGTCTTTTGTCTTTTCGACATTCTCTGCACGGCACCGTAAGAGGATTTCTTCTTCTTTCTTCCTGACTGTGATTTGCTCTCCCTCTGTCCTCCTTTCTTTCTTGGTGCACCGCCGACTGTGATGAAAACCACTTTTTTTGTCTGTTAACCTACACGACACTGATTCACGAACAAACACAGACACTCAAAGAAAAAAAAACTCCACTGATTTGATGAATTATCTGTCTGCCATGATACAGTTTTAGATGAGTTTCTAACAACGGACTATAAGATCATTACTATCCAGAGTAGATTACAGAGTCAACGGTGAACATGTCAGAATTGGGGCTCGTGAGATTATATCAAAGCACATTACAGCTAAAGGGGATTTTGTGTGAATGTGTGTGTGTTTATGATGGACCTGTTTTTATCCATATGTGTATTTGAGTGTGTGCACACAAAGTTATTACATAACAGCACAGCATGCTTACGGTTCAGAGGCAGTTGGTCAACATAATGGTGGCAGCAGCATGAAAACAAGAGGATTTGGGCAGCAGTAGATAGAGAGACAGAGAGAAGGAAAGAAAAGCAGATCCATGAATGGAGGTGTGGCCTTTGCTGAGCTGCGTGTGTTGGTTGGTGTTATCACTGACTCATCCTGCTAGTGGGAGGTTGACTTGTAAGTATGCACTGCTACAATATGATGTGTGATTAAAAAAATTACAGCAATACATCCATAAAAATTACAAACCTGGCCTGTTTAAGATCATTGACTCACCCTCCTCCGGACCGATATCAGTGCATCTGCTATTTTTAGATTCCTCCCTGGAAATCCTATTATGACCACTCGCAATGTTCCCTCGCAATGTGATTTCACCACAAACTTTAAGCATCCACTTCTCTTTTAAAATGATCAAACCCACGTCTAAGGCCTAAGCATAAATTCAGCGTCTCAGCTAAAAAGAGATGCCAAGACAAATCTGCTTATCATTTTTTTAATACACTGACTATGTTTTGCTCCATGAATTAGTCCTCCAATTCACTGCAGTTTCTTTAGGGTGCTGAGGATGAACATTTAAGCGTGTCACTGTAACTTTTCTGGCCACACCAACATCATTGCTGCTCACTACCTGCCTAATCACCAGCTGTGTCTCCCTGTAACTTTATCCACTTACTGAAAATTAAGCTAAAGAATAACGGTTCTGACACACTGGAGAAGAGGCACAGGGTCAAGGGAAGAGAATGGAACTTCCTTTTAAAAAAACCCACCAGATCTGAAGGTGGTCCAAACATATAAAATAAGATTATCAGCCCATAAACATCAAAACCCACACCTGATAACCCCCTTGTACAGTGCTGTGAAAAAGTATTTGCCACTCTTAAATCAGGAATTAACTGTGATTAACGCAGTTTTTAGGAAAGCGGATTCATTTTCAGTAGTCAAATTCAGGTCTGATTAGTGCCAGATTCAAGAAATCACTTCAAAGAGCGACACATCTGACAAAGAGCAACACATCATGCAAAGAAACAGCTGAGAAACAAAGTCATTGGAATCAGTCTGGAAAGGTCTACAAAGCAATTTCTAAGGCTTTGGGACTCCAGCGAACCATGGTGAGAGCCATTATCCACAAATGGAACAGTGATGAACCTTCCCGGGGGGGCTGGCCTTCCAAAATTACTCTAAGACTGCATGCCCGCATCAATGACTTATCCAGGAGGTTACAAAAGAACCCAGGACAACATCTGAAAACTGCAGGCCTCACTTGCCTCGGTTAAGGTCAGAGTTCATGATTCAACAGCAAGAACGATCTGGGCAAAGATGGCATCCAAGCCACGGCTGACCAAAATCAAAAAGCTCGCCAATTTAGACTCGCCAATAATCCTCATACACAACATCTTTAACTGTGGGAGGAAGAACATGTAAACTCTGTGCAGAAAGCTGACTGTGAATCTTTAAGCTAACCACATAAACGTTCCCAATTCAGTGTCTTTTTATTCCGTTATTTTATTAAGCACTCAGTCAACTGAGCCAGCAATTCAAATATCCCAGAAGATGATTTGATTCATGTATAATAGATGATTTCTTTCAGTTCTGTGGAGCAAACAGAGATCTTACTCAAGGACTTTTTCCTCCTTGGATGGATTCATTAAATATTACCAATTTATCTTAAAAGTCAGATACTCATCAATCCATCAGGCACAAATCAAGTGTCTGTCTCGTTTTTCAAATGAGGGTAAATCAGACAAAAATAGAGTGAATATTAATTTACATTTTCAAGTCTTTTTCAGACTTGAATGAATTAGTTACAGTTATTGAATTCTCTGGGAATAAAAAGCTTGACTGATTTGTTTTGTTTGTTTGCAGCTCTGCTCTCAAAGTGCACATGTGAAGTTCTTTTTAATAAACATCTATTAAAAATCAAACCAAAATGAGCGTAGAATATGTGCCTGCGACTCACCCGTGATAACCAGAGTGTGTTTAATGCCGGCTTCATTCAGCATTCGTTGGATGTGGTTGTTGTACAGCGTGAGTGCTTGTCCTTTCCCACTCTGTGGGTTCACCAGCAGCATCATCTGGCACGGGCGGGACATTTGGCTCATCAACACCCCTACAATGCAGAGGAAAGAAAATGTAACTAAAGGAATCCACAAATATGATCAGAATAAGTACGACGGGTTTGAAGATACACCACAAATTGTATACTGGGAAACTGAAACTTGACCGCTTCTTTGAGAAATGATTTAAAGAAAATATATATATTATATCGGATATTTTTCATACTGCGCACGTCTCTGTGTTATACTATATCTTTGATAGACCATCATAATTCTCGCCTTGTTTTCTTTAGTGTTTTGTGCCCCTTCAGCACCAGTGGGAGGACGGCCTGGCAGGATGATGTATGTGTTCTGTAGTGCCATAAAAAAAATGCTTGTGAATAAAATGAAAAAACAGAGATGGAGAGATGAATAGTTTTTGTTTTATTTTTATTTTTTTATGCACACACGATGCAAGGTTAATCAGGGTAATGCGTTTACATCCACTCTGCCAAGCTGAAATGCAAATTTGCATTGAGTTGGCTAATAATAAGGTCACCCTCTAGCATTTAGATATTTCAGTAAGGGTACACACATTGTACCAAGAAAGGAAGTAGTTTTTGTTGAAATGTCATAAAATATTAAACACAAAAGACACAGCACTAAATGTTCCTACATAAGAAAAGCCAGAAGCCAGGACACCTGGGAATCTGCACACTGGTATATTTGGAGATGCACGCACAAACAGTAGCCTTATCTCTCCTAACCAGCTTTGGCCTCGTGTAAAGGAGAGGATGGAGGTGCAAAACGATTGTTACTGCTAAAATATTTCATTAATACCGCAACAGGAAGGAACCGATGGAGTGCAAGCCTGAATCGCCTGCATAGACCCAGCGGGATAAAAGGTCATGATAATGAATGCCTTCAGCGACAGAAACATGGGCCATACACAGAAACACTTCCAGCATGAACTAGAGCCTTGAATGTTCTGCACATTAATGGGAACTGATTTTTGGCTGATGCATGCATGTGTTGACCCACTGTTTTTGGTATTTTTTCTGCATCAGCTGATCTTTTGCAAATTTTGTGCATTCTTTTAATGTGATAAATGTACTTTATTTAATCTGAATTTAATTTTGTGATATTACCTGTAATGTACCTGCAGCTGCTATGAAATACAGCTCATTTACTTAAGAGCCCACTGATAAGGAGACTTTGTGCACAGACCTGACAGAAAAATTTGTGGACGCAAGCAGAAACAAAGGTCAGTGGCACACGCTAACTTAGTCCAATGACACAGCTTGCATCTCAAGATGAATGTGCACAGCTCTGAGCTCTTTGCTAAATTTTTAACTGCGGGGTTGATGCAAATTAGGGATTGAAACAGTTATC